GGGGGGCTGTTGGATTATGAAGAATCTTTTCATCTGGGGAGCTGTTTGGTATATGAAGAGGCTGTTGATTTGAGAATGGTTGGGTCCCTGAAGTTGCTGTTGGTTTGGGGAGCTGTTTGGTGTATGAAGAGGTGGTTGGTTTGGGGGGCAGTTGGGTTTATGTAGAGGCTGTTGATTTGGGGGTTGGGTGTATGAAGAGTCTGTTCACTTGGGGAGCTGTTTGGTGTATGAAGAAGGAGTTGGTTTAGGGATGGTTGGGTCCCTGAGATGCTTTTGGTTTGGGGAACTGGCGCATGAAGAGGCTGCTGGTTTAGGGGGCTGTTGGGTGTAGGTAGAGGCTGTTGATTTGGGGGGCGTCTGGGTTATGAAGAGTGTTGATTTGGGGAGCTCTTTTATTTATGAAGAGGCTGTGGATTTGAGTATGTTTAGTTCCTTGAAGGTGCTATTGGTTTGGGGAGCTGTTGGGTGTATGAAGAGGCTGTTGGTTTGGGGGGTCTGTTGGGCCTATTTAGAGGCTGTTTATTTGGGGAGTGGTTGGGTTATGCAGAGTAATTTGGGGAGCTGTTTTATTTATGAAGAGGCTGTGGATTTGAGGATGGTTGGGAACCTGAAGGTGCTGTTGGTTTGGGGGGGCTGTTGAGTGTATGTGGAGGCTGTTGGTTTGGGGGGCGGTTGGGTCTATGTAGAGGTTTTTGATTTGGGGTGTGGTTGGGTTATGAAGAGTGATGATTTGGGGAGCTGTTTTATTTATGAAGAGGCTGTGGATTTGAGGATGGTTGGGAACCTGAAGGTGCTGTTGGTTTAGGGGGCTGTTGGGTGTATGTAGAGGTTGTTGGTTTGGCAGCTATTGGGTGTATGAAGAGGCTGTTGGTTTGGGGGCTGTTCGGTATATGAAGAGGCTGTGGATTTGGGGGGCAGTTGGGTTATGAAGAGTCTGTTGATTTGGGGAGCTGTTTTTATGAAGAGGCTGTGGATTTGATGTTTGGGTCACTGAAGTTGCTGTTGGTTTGGGGAGCTGTTGGGTGTATGAAGAGGCTCTTGATTTGGGGGACAGTTGGGTTATGAAGAGGCTGTTGGTTTGGGGAGCTGTGGATTTGATGTTTGTGTCGCTGAAGTTGCTGTTGGTTTGGGGAGCTGTTGGATGCATGTAGAGGCTGTTGGTTTGGGGGGCAGTTGGGTTACAAAGAGGCTGTTGGTTTGGGGGCTGTTTGTATATAGAGGGAGTTGATTTGGGGGGCAATTGGGTTATGAAAAGTCTGTTGATTTGGGGAGCTGTTTGGTGTATGAAGAGGCTGTTGATTTGAGGATGTTTGGGTCCCAGAAGGTGCTGTTGTTTTGGGGAGCTGTTGGGTGTATGAAGAGACTGTTGACTTGGGGGGCAGTTGGGTCTACATAGAGGCTATTGATTTGGGGGGCTGTTGGATTATGAAGAATCTTTTCATCTGGGGAGCTGTTTGGTATATGA